GAAAAAATAGATTTTTCATATGTTTTACTATGTGATCGACAAAAATTACGTAGACTTTTGTCCAGTGAGTGTATATAATTGACTAATTGTCTCACAAAGTAATTCGACCCAAGCGTCGACATATAAACGAATGGAAAAGTATGTTCGCTCGATTTAATATACTCACTTAGTAAAAAGGTAAAATTAGATTCTTTATTGTAGATTTGGCAAAATGATTATAGTTATAAAAACCATTAAACTTAGGGTGTACTTTAACTATCAAGATTTTCATAATTATATGGTTATTTTGCTAAATGGAATCATGACGAGTTTATCGTAAGGCGTATTATACAAATACAACAAACATAAATAGTCCCTAATTGGGAACATGCCGTATATAAAATCAAAATAAACCGGATGGACTTAATATATTATTACACTATAACTTCATAACTAATTGGCCGCGACTGATTATGTCGTAATTTGCCCAAACCGGAGTTTATACACGACAAACCAAATTGAATTAAAGCTAAATTGTTCAATAGTGAATTTTAATCTACATGTCGAGCATGTATGCTCAATTGTTCAAGAGATATTGTTATGATTGTTGAGTCGCATATTCGCTCGATCTTATCGATCCTATGGCAAAACAATTTTATTGCTTATTTACTGTTAAACTGGAATCATAATCGAAAGGTCGTAATTTCTAATTATCGTTATGTATAAGTGGCAAAGAATAGTGAATGGCCATCTTTAACAACTACACAAATGAAAATTAAATAATGGATCACTCAGTTGGGAAAGGTCGATACGAGCCAAAGAGCGTCTCGTCTGTATATGTTCAGCTTACAAACGTGCGTGCATACAGGCAGCCGGACACTTTGGTGGACCACCAACGTGCGATAATTAGCGAGAATTACAATTGTCAGATAGCTCGTTATAGAAAAAAGAATTGCGAAGAAGTAGAGACAATAAGGCCAGAGAATGGTTATGAAACACATAATATACAATGGTTAATCGATTATCTAATAATCAGGCAAGGACGTTACACGTATACATACGACATGTTACACGATCCCCTTGAGTTTTCAAATATTTCGTTGTGTAACATGTTAATGCATTAGTAGCATGTCGGACAATATCCCGATTATGAATAACGATAAGACAAACGCGTATTGTTTAGACATATTGCGTAATTGTACAAGGTATTACAAAAACCACCATAAATAATAAGGAAATATCGATAGTTGTATCATTGCTTTGTCGCAAGATTAAACTTTTTTTTTTTACTTCGACGATGTCTTCAGTTTTAGAAGCTTTCTTAGAACGTGAATACAATGAATACGATGGCAAAGTTGTTTGGATTCCTTCTTCACAGATTAGTAATGTAGAACCGGCCGACATTGATAGCATTTACTATGCATCTCGTACAAGAAATAATGGTAATATTCCCATAATGCTTCTATTACTTGGAAGTGAAGAAACATGCACACCAGTGTTTGCGACTGAGTTTACTAGAATATACTCACTCCCGACGTCCAAGTACAATAACGTTGGCAAGTTTAAGAGATACGCAATCTGGCTTAAGCGACGCAACAAGCTCATACAGGGATTTACCAAGCATGAAGATAAATATTATATGGTTGCTAAGAGAAATTTTTATCATTGTTATTCTGTTTATGGATTCTGCTCCGCATGCGGAATACTTCGGTGTAGTCCGGTATGGTGTGTTTGTGGATACAAGCAATTATCTGACGGATGGACCAGCAATAATAAACGACTGGACGAGTTTATTAGGAAATCTCAAATACAAACGAACTCAACGAATGAGCCTTATTTGGAGTGGATTCCATTCGACTGTATTGGATATGTGGAAAATGACATAGTAAAACTTTTAAATGGTCTGCCTACTCGTGAAAATGTAACATTGATGCAACTTGAGATAACAGATGAGACAGAAGATTCATATTATGACATGGTAAGCTATTAATGTTAGATGATTATTGCTTTAATATAATATAAATAATAATAATGCATTATTTTCATTAGTTGTGTAATGAGAATCCAGATATTTTTTCCAAAGATGATTGGATAACCATTGGATTTACATACAATGCAAGTACACAAATGTATTATTTAATAACAGAATGCTTTGAGGGTGGATTATGTCTGGCATGTACACAACAATGGCAACATGAGGTCGTAGCATTCTGCTATGAATGTAAATCACCAAGACCTGTTGATTGGACAACTGGCAACAAGTCTTTGGATTCATTTATTATGGAATCTTGGAGTAATATTATTCAATTGGAGGAAGCTGGATATAGCAATTATATCCAGTGGATTCATTACTCTCTCTTCACAAATGTAAGAGAGATGACAGTACCTGAATGCACATACATAGCAGATTGGTACAATAATATTACAAATGAATGGTTGACAGTCTCGCTCAAACATGTAGTTGAGGGACTGAACGCTCATTTATTTGACTTTTATCAGGTAAATTATTTAATGTCTAAAGAATGCAACTCACATGAGCATGTATTATTATTATGTGTTGAAACTGATTATTATTATTGGATGTCATAACTTTTTGTTTATTTCAACAGTTAACCAAGAAATATCCAGATATAATAACACCAGATAATATTTGGGTTATTGGTATCACACAAGAACCATTTACTCAAGACTATTATTTGGTGTTGTATCACGAAGTGAAAGATGTGATAGACAAATTTTTATATGGAAATGAACATATGAAGTATGTGGAGTATGATTATGATGGTTTTCATAATATTGAGGAGATCCAGTCTAGTGCCTATGAAACAGTTTATAATGCCCAATATAAACACTATAACTATAACTATTATTTACAAGAGAGTCTGCCAGAAACAGTTGTACTTAGATGTATTAAAGGCTCTGATAAAATACCAGAATTATTTATTAATGAGGTAAAAATCTTATATTAATATTAACTCAAAGTTTTATTTGATCTGATTGTATTTACTTTTTGTTTAATAGTTCAGAAATTATGCCAGGTGTGTTTTTGGATCTGGGGAGTCTGTTTTTCCCGGACTTTATGGAATTACACAAAGCCCAGAAACAAGAGAATACATAATTGTTATGGACTATTGTGATTATATCAATCTTTTACCTTTTTTGGAAAGAAACTTTAACAAGCTGACATGGAGGATGAAGTTTCAATATTTGCAAGATATTGCACATTGTTTGCACAGTATGCATTCTTCAGAAATTATACATTGCAATCTTCATGGTGGAAGTATAGGTTTGAATTACATGTTGGCTCAGCCAGAAAAAGAAGCCATCTTATTAAGTAATACTACTGCATACATATGTAATTTTAGCCACTCAAGATCAGTGAAGTCACATAATAGGTCAAAGTCGAGTATGCAAGGTGTTTTATCCTTTATTGCACCTGAGGTCTTCCATACTTGCAAATTTACAGAGAAATCAGACATATATTCTTTTGGCCTTATTATGTATATGATGGCCACTGGTGAATTACCTTTTAGAGATAGGTTGTTTGATAGAAATTTATTGTGTGATATTACAGATGGACTGCGACCACAGATACCAGATTCTGCACCTGAGGCATATAAGGAAATTGCTGAGATGTGTTGGGATGCTGATCCTGACAAGCGTCCAGAGACAAGTGTACTCAGTAATTTTATTGAAAATGTGTTAAAGGATAGTTCTGACATATTGGAAGCCATTTATCATAATGATATTACATCTTGAAATATCTAGTAAGCTCTCAAAATAGAGGCTAATTTTGAAGGCATGTTTGAAAAGTGACCACTTTTATTTTTAATAAAGGTATTAATAAAAGAACTATATAAACAAAGCTTACCTACAGGTTAAGTCAGAAAACATACAAATTTGATTTAATTGCACAGCATGAAAACAAGAACTGGGTGGGCTTTGTGTTTTGGTTTTAAAATATATCAATTAATTACAATAATAATTGATAGCAGCTCTTTTATTTTATAATTAGCAGTTTAAATTGTTGATGTATTTAATCGCTTACAAATATTTATTGTGTGTCAATACAAATTGAATTAATGAAATATATCTGCAAAAAATATCAATTGATGTATGTTTATTAATGATGTACATACTGATTATATTCGCACATGAGAATGCAGCCAGATGTTTTTTTGCTCAACGGTGCTGTTCCTTAAATTACATTGGTGGCGAATTTGCCTCCGATTTGGATTTGCCAACAAAAGCGCTTTATATTATATCACCTCAGTAAATACCCTAATATATACAGTAGACACGCCCTGGATTTTAACTGTACAGCAAAATTTACTAAACCATAAACGTCAATTTAGTTATTGCAATAAGCTTGAAAGACTGCTCAAGTAAACTACAGAAGTAATCTAGAGACACACGTAGATGGGAAACGTCAAAATTTTACGTTATTGCACTTAATATAATAATGTTATATATTAATATTAATTAATTTAAATTAATTAATTGTCAGTGTCAAGGTTTTTTACAGTTGTTTTCGCTAATGCTCGGAGAAGTAAAAGTAGACTATAATGGAATCAAAACTTCTCCCGAGAACTTCAAGAATATAGACACCATGAACAATGAATAGATTAGTCATATAAATGGATGGAAAAGTCTGTTCGCTCGACTCAATAACCCACCTAGTAAAAGTATATTAATATGGGAATTGTAAAATCTACCATTAAAATATATATGGAATTTAATACAACTGCCAGTAATTGATAAACTTTATTTTATGCATAATTAATCATAATTTATAAGAAACGTACGGTGCACGAACGGGGTTGTATGGTCGAACTTGGCTACGCTTTTTGCTGAAAATGGAATCATGAAAGTTTACGTAAAGCGTATTATACACGTATATTATAACCACGAAATCGTACTGACCGTAAAGATACTGTATATGAAATTGGAAACATATAAATTGCACTGTAACTTTATGATTAATTAGCCTCGCTCAGTTGTATGAATGTGCCGGTCTGAGACGATAAATATGTCGTATATGTCGCATACACGTAAATCCCGTCAACATATCGGAATTTCCTATTACGGATTATTCAGAACAGACATGACAACTGTATTGCAGTATTGGATAAATCTAGAATTGTTCAATACTGACTGACATTATACTCCAATTAATCTACGCGCCGTGAAAATGCATATTCATTATTCAAGAAAAATTGTTATAATGAGTTGGTTGCATTTTATGTCATCGCTCGATTACAACCCAAATGTTATCGGGACCTGACAAAACAATTTTACTAATTTATTTAATGTTAACTGGGATCATGGTTGAAAGTCCGGATCAAATATTCTGTAATAGTAATAGTACTGTAGTAATCGAGCAAAAAATTGAGATAATAGGCAGATCGATTTTTTAATTAGCCTTATTTAGTAGACAAGATCTTAGCATGACGCACCTCGTAATTGAACAACGTATTACAAAAACCATAGTAATATATAGGGATACCGATCGTTGCCATCTTCACAGAAAATCAATTTTCCCTGCGCTGTATTACTTGCTTTCCGAAAATCTATTCAGATGTCATTACTTTCAGAAGCTCATAAAGCAATTGATAGCTTGATTCAATCTTCCTTGCCGAATGTTAGATGGATTCCATGCTCGCACATCACCGACATAAAACCAAGTCACATTGACGCTATACATTATGCTGTTAATAAAAGCTATTATTGTGGAAAGATAATGCTTCTATTACTCGGAAGTGAAGAAACATGCACACCTGCATTAGTGAGTGAATTTGCCAGAATATACTCACTTCCAACGCACAATTACAATAACGATGTCAGCCAGTTTAAAAGATACGCAATCTGGCTTAAGAAGCGCAACAAGCTCATACAGGGATTTACCAAGTATGAAGATAAATATTATATGGTTGCTGAGGGAAACTTTCATCATTGTTACTCTGTTTATGGATTCTGCTCTGCATGCGGAATACTTCGGTGTAGTCCGGTATGGTGCGTTTGTGGATACAAGCAATTATCTGACGGATGGACTAGCAACAACAAGCTCCTCGACGAATTTATAAAGAAATCACAAATGAGAACAAATTCGGCAAATGAGGCTTATTTGGAATGGATTCCATTTGACTGTATTGAAATTACGAATTGTAGCCGATTATTTTTAAATGGTCTGCCTACCCGTGAAAGAATAAAATTGATCTCACTTGAGATAACAGATGAGACATATGACATGGTAAGCTATTTAATTATAATTATGCATCACGGTATTGGATGATTATTACTTAACATAATAATAATAATAGTAATAGCCGTGCATCATTTTTACTAGTTGTGTATTGAGTATCTAGATATTCTCTCCAAAGATGTTTGGACAACCATTGGATTTACATATGATGCAAACAGACAGATGTATTATTTAATAAAAGAATGCTATGGGGGTGGATTATGTCTGTCATGTACACGACTATGGCGATCTGAAATTGTAGCATTCTGCTTTGAATGTAAAGCACCAAGACCTGTTGATTGGACAACTGGCAACAAGTCTTTGGATTCATTTATTATGGAATCATGGAATAATGTGAAGGAAATAGAGGAAGCTGACTACTATTATTATATCCAATGGATTGACCACTCTCTTTTGACAGGCATAAGAGAGATGACAGCATCTGAATGCAAATACATAGCAAATTGGTACAATAATATTACAAATGAATGGATGACAGTCTCACTCAAACAAATAGTTGAGGGACGGAATGCTCAATCATTCGACTTCTATCAGGTAAATTATTGAATGTCTAAAGAATGCAACTCACATGAGCATGTATTATTATTATGTGTTGAAACTGATTATTCATTTATTTCAACAGCTATCCAAGGAATACCCTGACATATTAACACCAGATAATATTTGGGTTGTTGGTATCACACAAGAACCATTTACTCAAGACTATTATTTGGTGTTCTATCAAGAAGTGAAAGAAGTAGTAGACAAATTTGTGTATGCCAATGAAAACATGAATTACATGGAGTATGATGACTTTCATAATATCAAGGAGATTGGATCTGGTGCCTATGAAACAGTTTATACTGCACAACATAGAAACTATCTACAAGAAGGTCTGCCAGAAGCAATTGTACTCAAACATATTAAAGGTTCTGATAAAATACCAGAATTATTCATTAATGAGGTAAAAATCTTATATTGATATTGACTCAATATCAAAGTTTTATTTGATCTGATTATATTTAATTTTTATTTAACAGTTCAGAAATCATGCCAAGTGTCTTGGTGGCCGGAATGATGAATGGGCTTTACTTGGAATTTATGGAGTCTCACAATTCCCAAAAACAAGAGAGTACATAATTGTTATGGAATATGCTAATTCTAGCAATCTTTTACCTTTTTTGGCAAAAAAGTTTGACAAGCTGACTTGGAGGATGAAATTTCAATATTTGCATGATATTGCACATTGTTTGTACAATATACATTATTCAGAAATTGTACATTGCAATCTTCATGGTGGAAGCATAGTTTTGAGTTATATGTTGGCTCAGCCAGAAAAAGAAGCCGTCTTATTAAGTAATACTACTGCATACATATGTAATTTTAGCCACTCAAGATCAGTGAAGTCATATAGTAATAGGTCAAAGTCGAGTATGCAAGGTGTTTTATCCTTTATTGCACCTGAAATCTTTCATACTTGCAAATTTACAAAAAAGTCAGACATATATTCTTTTGGCCATATTATGTATTTGATGGCCACTGGTGAATCACCTTTTACAGATAGGCTATTTGATAGAAATTTATTGTGTGATATTACAGATGGATTGCGACCACAGATACCAGATTCTGCACCTGAGGCATATAAGGAACTTGCTGAGATGTGTTGGGATGCCGATCCTGACAAGCGTCCAGATGCCGACAAACTCATTGATTTTATTTCTATTGCATTATCTGATAGGTCTGACATATGGGAAACCATATATTATAAATAATGAACTCCTATCATGTCTTGAGAAGGAGCAAATATTCTAGTACGTTTACCTAAACCAGGAAACAGCTACAATTTTGGTTCAATGGTAATGGGTGTGTGTTATATACTAATACTAACATCAGCCATTTACATATAATTTAAAACTCAAAATTTTTCAATTTATTATATTTGCGAATTTATTGTATGTCAATGCGAGTTGAAATAAAAAAAATCAAATACGTTTTTCTACAAATAACAATTGATGCGTGACGTTGATTAGTGATTATTATTGCGTTGGGTTTTAAACAATTAACTGAATGTACGCAGATTACTATCGGTAATGATTGACGCGGTTAAGTTTATCTTATGACAGCAAAATATTTTCAATTTGGCGTTAAATTTTATTATCTATTTATAATGCGTTGGAATACCATTTGATCCCGCAGAACTTCATTTCGTCATTTACTCTATTACTGTGGCGACTGCACGTATCTCACGTGTATTGTTGCACAAATAGTAGAATAAAAACGTTTACCGCTTCCATTGTCATTTCAATTTATTACTCATCTATATTAATATAATACTGTGTCACTTGACATTAAATAACATATTAAAAGCAACTGGAACGCTTTGAGTGAATAAAAAGCTGATTTATACCAATGGTCGGTGTGTCGTCCATGATTCTTATGAAGTGAGATAACTATACACTATATGCCGAAGCGTTTATTTATAATGCCGAACGTATCAAGCCCAGGTAAACAATATCGGAAAGTTTCGTCTGATACAATGCTACGGGAAAAAGAGATAAACTTTTTTTCGCGACGTGTACGCAAATAATGAATGCAAATTTTTAGGTAACGATACGTAAAAGCGTCTGTTGGCGGAAGAAAATAAAATAAAAAGAATACCTGTACTTGCATGAAAAATCAATAATCTATTGCTTATAAACAAATTTTTGTATAAGCCCAAAAAACAAATAACGTTAGAATAATTGTTTGTTTTCTTGTGATGTTTTAGCTATCGAGAGAACAATTTATTAGTCAAGGCGTAAATTTGAATGTAACGTAGCAGAAAATAATAAGCAACCTCTTTGACAAATTGTCGGTGCAAATCTTCTTCACAATCGTAATGTTTATCTGAACATAGAATTTCACCGCAATAGTCATGCCGGAAAAGCTATCGTAACACTCGTCTATTCTATCATCGTCTTAGTAATATTTTAGAAACTGCTGCCCGGTCTTACATTGTCCTATACACCACTCCAATAATCCAATACCAATATGTTTCAAAATCTAATGTTATGTCACTTCCTGGGCAGCAATATATTGAAACATCTTGGATAGTACGTAGCCTTGCCTTGTATGCATCGGATTACAGTATTAAAGCTCAGACCTTACAGTCACAATTTAGTACCACGTATGCCAGGAAGTATTCTGCTTATGAATATTATATTTAATTACTGTATAGTTATTATACAAGAAATCAATAAACAGTAAAATAGATAAATTTTCTAGCTTTCCGTAGATAATAAGCCTTTTAAAATTGTGTAAATCCTTCCCACTAAGAATGCGCTAATAACTACCTTGTAACGGTGCACTGCCAGTTTCTCATCTATGCCGGTATGAAGAAAAAGTTTATCCTATTTAAGCTGGTAATTTAATCTGCAATATGCTTAAACTCAGCAATTCGGCAAACTCTTTCTTTTGCTTTACGTAACTCTGTTCCAAATGCTTGAGAGTCACCAAAATTCGACCAGAATTCAGACCTTTGAGTATGTCTGATATCGATTGCTCGCTTATTCGTGTTTCATTTTGCACAATATTTCCCTGTACGCCTAAGGGAAATTTTTTTACGCCGCCTCATGGTTTGATTCGCTTCATGGGACAAGGTTTGATGTAAGTAGCAAATTAATACATTGGTTGGCTGCTTACTCACAATTTTATTAGAGCTGTGGTTGTTTCATGAAAATTTTCGTATCCGTCATATGAGTTTCACAGTATGTAATACTCAAATAAATACTGGTATTTTGGTATTGATATTAAATTCATTAGATACAATGACGTGGTTAAGTTGACTCGTCTGTAATGATAAGTCTATATCCGTCTCTTCGCGGAAACTACTTTACTGACTCGTTCGTAGATGGATCAACCTTTGTCATATACACGCGCTATCTATGTCTTTTTATTTGCGTTGTTTAGTTTGTAAGTTAATGTAGTCCGATATGCCACTCGTTGTAAGAAAAACCAGTCTTTATAAACACCAGTTTATTAGTATACGAAATAGAATTTATTATAAGGTTTCGATTAAATAACCGTGTAAATAGCATTAGCACTTAAATGCATTGTTACTTGAGCAAGGCGCTATTTATTTACTTATTGCATACCCAAATAGGCAGCCATTCGTTGAACATTAAATGGTTATTAATATAATACTAATAGTGGCAATTTTCAATGATGTTATCATTGCCGCGACGAGAAAGTGTCTTAGAATACTACAATGCAAGTATGGAGTCGACTTCGACAAACTCTTCCCGTCAGTCGGATAACCCATCTAACTTTTTCATCATACCATATATTTAACACCGCATCGTTATCGTATTCATCATGGAATGCCGTTTCTCGGTAAGTAAAAAGCGCAACAACGCTAACTCCTCAACTTATGCAGGTTTAAATTTTACCTCAGGAAAATTAGTTATCATGATACAAGTACTGTATGTTAGAATGATAAATCTTCGACACACATGTCAATGGACATAAGAAAACGTAACACTTGCATGATTTATCAACGCTGCACCAGATACTATACCTATCACAAAAACCTTGACTTCACATGTTGTGATTGTGGCGGAAAACGTTAAAGTCAGGCATTTTTTTACAGCTGTCAAATTAAAGTCGCATCATTCATACTTTTTAGGAAACCATTATTGTAAGCGCTCGCTCATATGATCTCCCGAGCAAATCAGCCTCGACAATCACGTGAAATACCCCTTTTTTACCACATCGCTTTATTTATAGTCACCTCGATCTCTCTCACCATGTCCCACTACGTCGGTAGAGTAGAAAGAGGTCGTAAATTACTCCCGGATGAAGAAGATGCTACTAAACTCAAATTTGGAGAAGGTATGATTGCGTCATTGACATCTGTATGTGTATATATGGTTTCTAATCCATCCGCTTTAGACTTTGAAGATGTCGTTGAAGTCCTCTTTATATCGGAGGCCTATCTGATCATGGACAAGACCAAGTCACAGCAAAATAATACAAATACAGAGTCAGTGTTTCAGGCATTATTCAAACATTTTGTTACAATTGAGATGTTCAATCGCTTACGGTCCACATCCTAACAGCGTATATCGAAAGACTTGGGAATATGTGAGAAAGTTTGGAAAGTTTAACAATGAGGATGCTGTGAAAGACTTACGCACGTATGTTACAAAACTTTTGATATTTCCGATCCATCCCCTTGCTTGTCATCATCTCTGTTGTTCTTTTCCCATTTTTCGTCATAGAACACTGGTTAAGCACAATCTACACAAATATGAGCTCGCACAGTTAGTAAATTTATGCCCTGAAGAATTGGATGAAGCCAAATCGTTAGTTCCAAGGTACTATCATCAATACGAGTTGGTTGTATATGTTTCTACATTACAATTCATTTATTCTCAACTTTTAACCAGTCTGGCAAGGAGATTCGAAGACGACGAGATACGACAGATGCTAGAAGAGATCGCAACGCTGAAGAAATACCAAGCATAGCGTGAGATTATATTAACACTACAAGTTTTAATATATCGTTTTATATAACGTACTGAAAACTATCATTTTGTCCCCTCTGTCAAAGACAGCTACCGGCAAACAGCTCTTGACGAATAAATAGCCTCCGACAGCGCACCACCTTTACGCATTTGTGACGTGACGATAATGAGACTGTCAAAACCATTTGTAAACTACCACTTTTTTGACAGAGGGCCGGCTAATCAAGTTAGATCTATGCGTATGTTTATATGTCCACAAACAATATCCCGATCCTTTGTTGTAGATATTGATCTCGTTTCTGGCTGATCTGATATGTGTTGGAAATGTCTGCTGCGAATACTTTGGTTTAATAAATGGAAATTCATATCTCCATAATTAAAATTTTCTGGCATATTTAAGTGCTCAATAAATTATTACGTACCCCTGCTGCAAGAAAGTCTGTAACAGTTTTTGCATACATGTGATTTGCCGGTAAGGTAGTGGGCAAATGCGAAGGATGAAAGATCCTGCTGATGGGGAAAAAAAGAAGTGAAAATTGAAACAAAAAATAAACCGAGACGCATTGTCTAATCAAGAAGTAATCAAAGCTGATTTGGTGAAATGTTCTAGGTTACAAGTGCCTGTTATGCCGTTTGCTCCTTTAGATACTTACCAAAGCAAGACAGAGTTAAAAATCGTTGAGGGAATAATACATGACGCTTAGCGTGCGTGGCATTAGGATTTTTGCCTAACAAAATAGACTGATATAACTCGTTAAATTACAAGTTATTGACATTTCAATCGGAACTTGGGTAATCCATAACTTTTAGCATAGTTTTCGAGAAAAATTTTCACGCTGTAGTGACAGTTATATCAATTGTTATTTTGGTTCCGTCGTTCAATCACGCAAACTATATTTACATTATATGTTGTTTGCACAACGTCATAATATAACTGATAACTCCACAAGTAATAATACGTAATTAAACTTTTTACATGAAATAGTCATTATGTTCACCGCGACCAAGATTTTTAGGTGGATCATCGAAAACTATCAGGAGACGCATAGTTTGTCATCGGAAGCCCATGTATAGCAAAAAACACTCCCTGCACCAGTTTTTCAGTAAGTAAAAGCGCATGTTTATTCGAGTCAATGAGGCTGGCTACTTAACCTAGACAATAGATAAATTGAATAACATCATCGAACGACGGGGGCTCATGTCGCCGAAACCAGTCGAAAATAAACCGCACAGATTAAAGGACGTCCGACATTTATGTTAAAAAAAAAATTATAGAAATTTCATTATATTAACATTGTTGTCCTCTTTTTCCGGCAGCTTTTTAAATTTCGACCCAGTTTCGCCATCGTTGACTCTGAGATGATAAGAAACTTACCAACTTAAAGCCGCTGAGAGAGAAGAAAACGTTTGAAAGTGCCAACATGTCATGTTGGACATTGGTCACCTGCGACAACGCTGTATAAGAATACTGCTTACAACATTTCTCAATCATTTGCTAACTGGTTTGGCCATAAATTATTGTCAAGCAGTAAGTAATTTGTCTGCCAGTAGTTGCTCTAATAATTGTTATGAATGGTTCACAACTTAGTATATTGAAAGACCAAAGAAATAAATGTTTATGAAAAATAACTTACTATTACTATTTGTAGAAGTCCCATCCAGTGTGACGAAATACAATTGTCACACAAAAAGCGGGCTGTGCTGTGAATACTTATTATTATTATTATTATACTGCTATTTCTTTATTAATATTAATATTAAACAATCATAACCAACATTTGCTTTTCAATATGCAAGAAAGTGCAGCTGAACAAGGAGATGCCAAGGCACAATATAATCTTGGTAATTGTTATTATTATGGAACTGGGAGAAAGGCTGTTGAATGGTATCAAAAAGCAGCTGAACAAGGAGATGCTCAAGCACATTATAATCTTGCTGTATGTTATGCCAATGGAACTGGAGTAGAAAAAGATGAACAAAAGGCTGTTGAATGGTATCAAAAAGCAGCTGAACAAGGATATGCTCAAGCACAATGTAATCTTGGTTGGTGTTATGATAATGGAATTGGAGTAGAAAAAGATGAACAAAAGGCTGTTGAATGGTATCAAAACGCAGCTGAACAAGGATATGTTGATGCACAATATAATTTTGGTAGTTGTTGTTATTATGGAACTGGAGTAGAAAAAAATGAACAAAAGGCTGTTGAATGGTATCAAAAAGCAGCTGAACAAGGAGATGCCCAAGCACAATATAATCTTGGTTGGTGCTATGATAATGGAACTGGAGTAGAAAAAAATGAACAAAAGGCTGTTGAATGGTATCAAAACGCAGCTGAACAAGGATATGTTGATGCACAATATAATCTTGGTAGTTGTTATTATTATGGAACTGGAGTAGAAAAAAATGAACAAAAGGCTGTTGAATTGTATCAAAAAGCTTCTGAACAAGGAGATGCTCAAGCACAATGTAATCTTGGTTAGTGTTATAGACATGGAACTGGAGTAGAAAAAGATGAACAAAAGGCTGTTAAATGGTATCAAAAAACAGCGAACAAGGATATGCCAATGCTCAATATAATCTTGCTGTATGTTATGATAATGGAATTGGAGTAGAAAAAGATGAACAAAAGGCTGTTGAATGGTATCAAAAAGCTGCTGAACAAGGATATGCTCAAGCACATTATAATCTTGCTGTATGTTATGCCAATGGAATTGGAGTAGAAAAAGATGAACAAAAGGCTGTTGAATGGTATCAAAAATCAGCTGACCAAGGATATGCTCAAGCACAATGTAATCTTGGTGTGTGTTATGCCAATGGAACTGGAGTAGAAAAAGATGAACAAAAGGCTGTTGAATGGTATCAAAAAGCAGCTGAACAAGGGTATGCTCAAGCACAATATAATCTTGGTTTGTCTTACAATAATGGAACTGGAGTAGAAAAAGATGAACAAAAGGCTGTTGAATGGTATCAAAAATCAGCTGAACAAGGACATAGTGGTGCACAGAATAATCTTGGTCATTTATATAGAACGAGTATAAATGAGAAAGATTATCAAAAAGCTGTCAAATTATATCAAGATGCAGTTATGCAAGGGGATTCTTTTGCACAGGCTGGCCTTGGTTGGTGCTTTGAAAATGGAATAGGTGTAGATAAAAATGCTCAGAGGGCAGTTGAACTGTATCAAGAAGCAGTTAAGCAAGAGAATGCTTATGCATGTGTTAGTCTTGGTCTGTGTTATAAAAATGGAATTGGAGTAAACCAAGATATTCAAAAGGCTATTGAATTGTTCCAAAAAGCTGCTGAACAAAGACATCCATATGGACAATATAACCTTGGTTGGTGTTATGAGAAAGGAGTTGGAGTAAACCAAGATGAGCAAAAGCTATTGAATTATATCAAAAAGCAGCTGAACAAGGTTACACTAAGGCACGAAGTAAGGTTTACTTTTTTGAATATAATGATAGTTCTAAACTAAAAGCAGTGACTCAAAAACTGTCAGAGTTTTATCAGTGAAAAGAAAAAAGTAAAAATGGAAATATTAGAACACAATTATTTTTATAATCAAATATATAAATAAAGATTGTTATTATTGCAATTGATATTTTTATTATAAAAGCTGCATGCTGGGATGCAACATTTAGGAGCCTATTACCAAGACTGAATTATGTGCCATATTTTTCTTGTGACCACGATCGGTAGATAACATAGGCTCTATATGCTGGGACGCCCTTTGCAAAGTTTCTAACAAGTTACCAACACAGTTTTATTTCTAATAGCAAGACAAAGTGGGAGAAACAAATAAACCCTGGTATTAGTTAATTCAAAAGAGAATAACAACTGAACGTATTAATTTAAGGAACTGAATCGATCTAAGAATAAACTAAACGATTTAAATCCATACGATACAGTGTCTTTTTTCCTGATTGCAAAAAGATGTTCTTCAGTATTGTTGTTCACTGATTGCTTTACCTACAGAATACTTGGCGAAAAATTTTATTATTGCTTTTTCATTGTGTCGTATTAATGATCCAATGATTAAGTAAAGATGCCCTTTTTATAAGAGTAGTAGTAGGGGGAAAGGAGTTTTCGCTCATATAAATACTTTTTCTAAATAAACGTACACATCAACACAGAAGTTTCGTTGTGTGCAGTACAACACAACAAAATCTTTTACTGGTCAAATTTAAAATCTGTCGCATTATAAGGTCATACTTACAACAATTTTCCGAGACGGGTGAGATATGCAGATAATGTTAGTACACATCAAACTTAGATTAATGTATCAAGATAAATCACAAAAATTAAATTTATTGTTGTCGAGTACACTATTGAATATTCGAATATGAATATCGACCAGAAATCAACAATGCTGTATGTTGAAGAATATTATGTTATCTAATTCTATTGCTCGCAAGGTGCAACGCATAACATTGTACAAAAGGACGTTGACTTTTATAAGTACGGCTAAATAATCATCATCGGGCGTGCAAGAAAAACGAAAGCGCCTTTTTCAACTACGAACGCCTAACGCGTAATAACATACCGAATATAATTAGTACCATAAACTATTAGAGGTAGCAGAATACAATTGACAATATAATTTGTGCATATTAGTACAGAGAGACCTTTAACTCGAATTAACTGTAATATTGACTTTAATTAATACAATTTCTAATATACATTATTGGTAGAACGACTTTTGAGAGTGCCTGGCAATGTAACTATGAGTCAAATAAGCAAGTAATATGATAAACTCTAACGGTAAGAACCTTTGGTCAAGTGAATTTAAGTGGCTACAGCAAAGTTGTTGCAACACAAAAACCAAGACAAGAAAACGTTCAGATATTTGGTCATCCAAAGATACATTTAAGAACGAATAATTTTATTATCAAGTTATGTTATTTTATTAGCGTTATTTTACCAGTTTATAATATACTAGATAAATGTTAATGTTTACGTTTTTGAACAAAATATAATTTTTTTTAATGTCTAAGAATCGCG